ATGGATGGATGGATGGATGGATGGATGGATGGATGGATGGATGGATGGATAATAATAAAAATAAAAAAATCAGGTCACATCAAAAGTCTTTAATGAATAATATTTGCTTCCCGTCTCTGAAAAAGTGAAACAAGTTAAACTGAAAATGTACACCAGGTAAAGAAAAGTGAAGAATCGTGTTGTGCGTTTACATTCTGAGTTTAAATAAAACCAAAATGTTGCTGAGAGTTTATTGATGAAACCCAAAAGAAGCTGAATAATGTAAAAATATCCCAAATTTGATTTTAATTTTAAATAAATCAGTACAGCCCCGACTGGATCAAATATTTAATCTAGTTTGTTTTGGATTGGACGTCAACAATTCCAATGCATTTTCATTTCTTTTCTGAGACTGTTCATGAACATGTTTTTTTGTTGAAATTTCAGTGCCGGAGCTGAGGATTGTTCTGCTGGGAAGCAGTTGGTCAGAGAAGTGTTCAGTCATAAAACTCCTTCTGGGAAATGCTGAGATAAACCCAACACTAGAACCCATTCACTCCACTAAAGTCAGCGGAATGATAAAAAAGACAAAAGTAGTCGTCATCAACGTACCGTCAATTCTGCTTGATGCAGGGATTTCTCCACACAATTTTAAAGAACGCATGGATTATTGTGTGACGCTGTCCTACCCTGGACCTCACTTGTTCCTGCTGGTCGTACAGCCGGACGTCTTCACTGAGCACAACAACATGAGACTCTGCAGAATCCTCGAACCTTTCAGTCTTCAGTCCTTTGACCGTGCACTGGTTGTGATGTCAACACCCAAACTGGAGGGGCTGAGTTTTTGTGAACCTTTACAAGACCTGATCAAAAGGTGCAGAAATAGAACTTTCAGTTTGAAGGACCAAAATCAATCAAATCTGCTGCCGATCTTGAAGGAAATTGTAGGGATGAACATGAGAAGACAGCTGACCTGTGACCGTTCAAACACTAACTTCTGGAAAGAACGTCCTGAAACTTCAGCATCTATCCAAACTGCTGGTGAGTTCAAGGAAATATTTTAAATCAGATTTAAAAATTCATTTCTCCCTGCATCAGTCAGATTGTTTAACAAAGTAGGCGTGCAGTTTTTTGTTATGCGCTGATGCTGTGGTCTCATTGTTGTGTCGTTTACTTGCTGGAATGTATGTGGGAATGTGCAATATGTGTTTTTATTGAATTATGTGTTTTTATTGAGTAATAGGTGTTTTACATTTTTGTATTTTATTGTGGGGTTCACATGATTTTATTGGTTGTAGTGTATTTAATTGTGGAAGAAGCTTTGTTAGCGCACGATGTCCAAGACAAATTTCCCCTTGGGGACAATAAAGTATACATCTATCTATCCAAAACATCCAAACTAATTTCAAACTAAAGGAAGTGCATCCTGCTGCACGCTCAGTAATCCAGGGAGAAAAATCTAACTAGGTGGAGTCAGGTCCTCTGGACGGATTCTTCTTCATGGAAACATTTCATCTTTTATCCAGAAGACTTCTTCAGTCTGAGGAGAGGCAAAAAACTGTCTTTTAAATAGCTTTGTCTTCTTCTTTCGGCTTTTCCCTCTTCAGTGATTGCCACAGTGAGAATTCTTCTCCTTCTCACTCTGTCCTCTCTCCAGCTACCTCCATGTCCTCTCTAACTACATCCATGTATCTCCTCTTTGTCTTTTTCCTGCAGCTGCATTTCTAACATCCTTCTACCAGTATACCCACTGTCCTTCCTCTGGACATGTCCAAACCATCTCAGTGTGTCCTCTCTAGCTTTATCTCCCAGTTGTTCAACCTGTGCTGTACCTCTGATCATCTCATTCCTGATCTTCTCCATCCTTGTCTCTCCTAAGGAGAACCTCAACATCTTCATTTCTGCCACTTCCAGTTCTGTCTCCTGTCTTTTTGTCCATGTCTCTGTCTCCTGTCTTTTTGTCCATGTCTCTGTCTCCAGACCATACAACACAGCTGGTCTCACCACTGTCTTGTAAACTTTTCCTTTGACCTTTGCTGACACCCTTCTGCCACAAATCACTCCTGAAACTTTTCTCCGTCCACTCCATCAATCTATATTCTTGTTTCAATCCTCCTCATACTAGGTGAGGGAATGTCATGAGAGAAACAGGAAATCGACAAGAAAACACAAGGAACACACCGACAGAATGAACTGAATCTACAATAACACAAGAGAATAAAACAAAGCAACACCAACCACGTTGTTCTCGTGGTTCCCACTGATGCTGCAGTTCACAAAAAAACCTATAGAACAATGATGATGCCTTATGAAAGTTCAGAAAATTAATTTTGTTTTTGTGTTTACCTTACAGAACATCTCTGCATCATGCTTTTAGGAACAAATCAGTCCATCAAGACACAACTCTCCAATTTCATCATAGAGAAAAAAAATATTGAGGTACGAAGATTTCATTCAGCCGAGCCTTTTGAAGAGGGATGGTGGAACGAAAAAGTCTTATACGTAGTGAAAGCTCCAGAGAGTCTGTTCCCCAGAAACACGAGAGAAGAGCTGAAACGGTGCATAAGCCATTGTCCTTCTGGACCAAATGTTCTACTGCTGCTAGTGAAGCCTTCAGACTTTATGGAGAAGGACCTACAGACACTGAAGTCCACCCTGAGAATGTTTGGTGATAATGCCTTCAAGCACTCAATAGTTGTCATGACCCAAGAAGGGAATCCAACAGGGTTCTCTTTGAACTCACTCCTCAGAGAATGTGAAGGAAGACAGTACAACATGTTTGAAAATGACCACAGAGCGTTGATGGAAAAGGTAGAGGAACTTGTGAAAAGAAACCGAGGCACCTTCCTAACCATCAGAGATGACACAGCAAAACCAAAGTCTGACCAAACCCCACCAGCTTTAAACCTGGTTCTGTTTGGGAGGAGAGGAGCAGGAAAGACTTCAGCAGCTGAAGCTATTTTAGGTCAGAAAGATCTTCATCCAGCCTCCAGACCTTCAGAGTGTGTTAAACACCAGAGGGAGGTGTGTGGACGTTTGGTTTCTGTGGTGGAGCTGCCTCCTCTGTACGAGAAACCACACGAGGAAGTGATGGAGGAATCACTCAGGTGCGTCTCCCTCTGTGATCCTGAGGGGGTCCATGCCTTCATCCTGGTCCTACCTGTGGGTCCCCTCACTGATGAAGACAAGGGAGAGTTACAGATCATCCAGGACACGTTCAGCTCTCGAGTCAAAGACTTGACCATGATTCTGTTCACTGTGGACTCAGACCCTGCAGCTCCAGCTGTTTCCAACTTTGTAAAAGGAGACAAAGACATCCAGGAGCTCTGTCAGAGCTGTGGAGGAAGATACATTGTTATCAACATCAAAGACAAACAGGACGCGTCTAAAATTATACCAGGTGTGGAGAAAATGAGACGGGACAAAGATGACCAGCGCAGCTACACAACAGGAGCACTCACACGAGCCTACATGGATAGAAACTCACAACTAATGAAAGACGTCGACAGACTACGAGCAAAACTGTCAGACCTGACACCAAGGAACAAAGACACTGGTTGGTATTTTTATTCATTCCTCTAACTCAGGGGTCTGCAATCTTTACAACAGAAAGTTATTTTAGTAATTTCTCCTTTAAAATAAAGTTAGTTGAATTTCCCTTGGGATTAATAAAATATCTATTCTATTCTGTTCTATTCTAGAAGCACAAATCTACTTGCATGTTTAAACTAAAATAACTGTCCTCATTAAAAAAATACTAAAAGTAAAAAAAGAAACAAGCAACACAACATCTTTTTAGTTTTTTTATTTTTCATTTTAGCTTTGCATCCCAGCTGAGGCAGGGGTAGAGCTGTCATTTCTAACCCGAGCCCTTAGCGCGGCCCCATCCGACCCAAATTTGGGGCAGGTGGGGCCATGATAATGTGCTGGATGGGCGGGCGAGGGTCGGTGTCAGGCTTTTAAATTGGGTCAGGATGAGCCGCGATCCAATTATATGGTAATATGCCCTGTCATACATTCACCAGCCGCACGTGGCGATTTCACCGCAAGCTGACCGGCCTTGAAAGAGGTAAAAAGTTCAGTTAAGCTTCAGATGGGACTGTACTGCCAGGAAGTGATCCATCACCCAAATGGACATTCATTCAGCTGCTGCACTCAGTGGATGCGTGCGGACATTGCCTCTGAGTGGGCCATGTTACGCACCTCAATTGTTGAAGTAGCTACTTTGAGCTGTTGCCGCAAGGTTGTTGGTGCTTCTCGCAGTGGCCATCCTTGAACTCGGTGGTGGACACCTCGAGCTAGGGAGGCTGTCAAGCTGAAGAAGGAGTCCTATCGGTCCTTGTTGGCTGGTAGGACTCCAGAGGCAGCTGAGGAGTACCAGAGAGCCAAGCGGTCTGCAGTCTTGGCTGTTGCTGAGACAAAAGCTTGGATGTGGGAGGAGTTCAGTGAGACTTTGGATAAAGACTCTCAGTCAGCTCCAGTGACATTCTGGAAAACCATCAGGCAGCTGAGAAGGGGAAAGCAACTCTTTGCTAACAGTGTTCAATGAATGTGGGGTGCTGTTGACCTCAACCAGTGATGTTGTCGGGAGGTCGAAGGAATACTTCTCAGACTATTTCAATCCCCGGCACATCTTCCTTGGAGGAAGCTGAGTCGGGGGACTTTGGGGTTGGTCTGTCCATAACTGTGGCTGAGACTGCTGAGGCAGTTAAAAAGCTCCGAGGCGGCAGGGCTCCGGAGGTGGATGAGATTTACCCTGATCTCCTTAAGACTCTGGATGTTGTGGGGTTGTCTTGGTTAACACGTCTTTGCTACGTCGTGTGGACATCGGGGGCAGTGCCACTGGATTGGCAGACTGGGGTGGTGGTTCCCCTCTTCAAAAAGGGGACAGGAGGATGTGCTCCAATTACAGGGGCATCATTCCCCTTAGACTCCTTAGTAAGATCTATTCAGGGGTGCTGGAGAAGCGAGTCCAATCGTTGGTCAAATCTCAGATCCAGGAGGAACAATGTGGGTTCTGTCCTGGCTGTGGAACACTGGCTCAGCTCTTTACCCTCACTAGGGTCCTTGAGGGGTCATGGGAATTTGCCCATCCAGTCTACATGTGTTTTGTGGACTTGGAGAAGACATTCGACCGTGTTCCTCGTGGTACACTGTGGGGGGTTCTCTGTGAGTATGGGATTGGGGGTCTGTTGTTACGGGCTGTTTGGTCCTTATACAAGCGGTGTGAGAGTTTGGTTCGCATTGCTGGTAGTAAGTTGGACCCCTTCAAGGTGGGAGTTGGACTCCGCCAGGGCTGCCCGTTGTCACCAATTCTGTTCATAACTTTTATGGACAGAATTTCTTGGAGCAGCCAGGGGGCAGAGGGAGTCCAGTTCGGTGGCCTCAGGATTCCATCGCTGCTCTTTGCAGATGATGTGGTCCTGCTGGTGTCATCGTGCCGTGATCTTCAGCGCTCACTGGAGCGGTTTACAGCCGAGTGTGAAGCAGCTGGGAGGAGAACCAGCACCTCCAAATCTGGGACCATGGTCCTCAGTCGGAAAAAAAGCGGATTGCTCTCTTCAGGTTGAGGGTGGGGTTCTGCCTCAAGTGGAGGAGTTCAAGTATCTCAGGGTTTTGTTCATGAGTGAGGAAAGAATGGAGCATAAGATTGACAGATGCATTGGTGCAGTGTTGTGGACTCTGTACCGGTCCGTTGTGGTAAAGAGAGAGCTGAGCTGTAAGGCAAAGCTCTCTGTTTACCAGTCGGTCTATGTTCCTACCCTCACCTCTGGTCATGATCTCTGGTAAGGATGCTCCCTGGGCGCCTCCCTAGAGATGTGCTTCAGGCATGTCCGACTGGGAGGAGACTTCGGGGAAGACCCAGGACAGGAATAAGCGGAATAATGGATGGATGGATAGTTTCTTTTCCCATCCAGGGAACATTCCTTATTCAAAACAGGAGAGTTTGGAGTTCCACATTTATGCAGTGAAACTCACATGCAGATTAATTTCTTTACCCTCCCTCTTGAGGTTAGCCTGGCTCAAAGAGATGTTTTGCGGGTAGATGATGAATGAATGATTCCACTAGTTTTTCAGACTCCTGCACCTCTGCCCATCTTTACTTCTAAAAGTCTCTGTTTATCCCGTCTTCTGACTGATCTGTTGATAATTCACCTCATTTGACCATGAAAACATGAAAATCCAAATGATCTTATTCCCCCCTTCCAAAGTGGTACATTTTTTGACTACAGTACATCTAATATATTTGCTTTGTTCTACTGTGAATAAGACGTAAGTATGAGAATTGTAAATCATTGCATGTTTTTATTTGCATTTGACATAACTTTTTCTGAATTAGGTTGGATTAATTGAATATATACTGCAGTATTTATAATTTACAACTGAAATCATGCAGTCAAAGACTTATGTTGTCGGTCCTCTTCTGTTGCAGGTGCTGAAGAGCAGCAGAGTCCAAGGAGTCTCAGGATTGTTCTGATTGGGAAGACCGGCAGTGGAAAGAGTTCATCGGGAAACACCATTTTAGGAAGAAACATGTTTAAAGCCAAACCAAGTCAAAAATCAGTCACCAAGCGCTGTCAAAGAGAAGAAACTTCCGTAGAGGGTCGTCTTGTTTATGTGGTGGACACTCCAGGTCTGTTTGACAACAGTTTGTCCCATGAAGCAGTCAACAAAGAGATGGTGAAATGCATCAACCTTCTGGCTCCAGGGCCACATGTCTTCCTGTTGGTGATCCCAATCAGCAGATTCACAGAAGAAGAAAAGGAGGCACTCAAACTTATAAAGGAGGGTTTTGGAAACAATTCAGATTTATTCACCATCGTTCTTTTTACAAGCGGAGATGCACTAAAACTCAACAATCAGACCATTGAGGATTACATTGAACGGGAATGTGATGACTCCTTTAAACGCCTCATCGATGACTGCGGAGGGAGATATCACGTGTTTGATAACCTTGATGACAAAAACCGAACACAAGTCAGCGAGCTGATAACAAAGATCGATGCCGTGGTGAAGGAAAACGGGGGCAGCTGCTACACCAGTAATATGCTGCAAGAAGCTGAAGCTGCGATACAGAAAGAGATGAAGAGAATCCTGAAGGAAAAGGAAGAAGAGATGAATAAAAAGATGGTGGCACTGGAAAGAAGACATCACATTGAAAGGGATAGCATGGAAAGAAAAATGAGTGAACAAAGAGTAAAAACTGAACAAGAAATTGAACAGAAAGACATGAAAATCAAGGAAATGATGAAGAAAATCCAGAAAGAGCAAGAGGAAAAGAAAAAAGAACAAGAAAGGAGACGGGAAGAAAAAGCCAAGAGGAAACGAGAGAAAAAAACCTGGGAGGAAAAGTTTACTGCGCTAAAATTAAAAGCAAAATCAGACGAGGAGCTGCAGGAGCACACAGCATCAATCAAAAAGCAACAGGAAGCCTGGGAGAAGCAAATGAACGACGCCACGGAGAAACAAAAACTAGAGGACCAACAGCGGCAGCAGAAGGAGCGACGACTGCAGAAGGAATACGATGAGGAAAAACACGACTTTGAAATCAAAAAGCAAGAGAATAAAATCAGGAAAGAAGAGGAGGTGAAGCAAAGAGAAGGGCTGGAAAAAATCTACAAGAAAGAAATTGAGACACTAAGAGAAACATACGAGGAGGAAGCAAGAAGGAAAGCTGAAGAATTCAACGAGTTCAAAGAAAAATACAGCAAAGAATCTGCAGTCCAGAGAGAAGAACACGAGAAACAACTGAAAGATAAAGACGATAAGTACGACCTGCTGAGGGCACTCAAAGCCCACAATGAAAAACAAAGCAGGGATAAACATCACGAGCAAATCAACGCGTTGGTCCAATGTGTGACTAAAAAGAGAGAGAACGTGAGAAAAATCAAAGACATGCTAACCAGACATGAGACCCAAACCAAACAGGTGAAATCTCAGGAGGAAATTCAAAATCTGCAGAACATTCATGACCGCGAAATCAGTGACTTGATCCATCAACTTCTGAAGGACTCTGATTCAAAGTCCTCCTGTTCTATTCTGTGAGGAACATGAGGAGCATGAGACATGACCCAGAACTGGAGCAGATCATTACAGTCCTCTGGTCCCTGATCCTCTGCTGGTCTTCTGAGGGTTGTTTGAGTCTGGCCAGCACATGGTCTGGTTGGTCAGATCAACCTTTCTGATGATAAGTAGATGTTCATGAGAACAAAGAGTTTTTTTCAGGTGGATGGAAACTGTTGAACCGATTGGTCAAACATGGTAAAGACTCTTGAGCGGAGGTGAAGCAGTCTCTGTCCAGTGTGAGGTGGAGATGGTGACCCGACTTGTCTCTTTAGGAACACGAGTCGTATTGCTAAACTACAGTGAGACCACTTGTGAAAAATGATTGACACAACGAGAGAAGAGTTTAGCACCACTCTTACTTTGTAAATACAGTAGATGTGCACGTGCTTACTTACCTGGAACAGTCTGGATGATTGTGTTTGTGGACTTTTACTGGATTCTTGTACAACATTTATTTGAGTTAGTTTTAATCACATTCACCAGAACAAATTAAGTGTGAACTAAAATCACATGTCGTTTTAGATTATTTTGACTGATATGTTTAAATTCAAATAAAAAATTAAACGATGGATGAAGAACCTGTTTGAGAGATCAACTTTAATAAAGATCCCCGAAGTGTCTCTGCTTCTCCAGTTCTTCAGAACGGTAGCCAGATTAATTGATCTAATCCCAGCTGTAGTTTAGGAGACAGATTCTTTGTGAGTTGTCCTCCTTGTGTTTTCCTCCCAGAGTTGTCTCAAACCACTAGAGGACGCCGTGACGTCCCCCATTTTTTCCATCTGTGGCCAAGATGGCGTCCAAAACGGTCAACAGCTCACAGCCAGAAATCAACTGTTTCATTAACAGCAAGCCCAGCTGGATCTGTCACTAATTATTTTTAATATCTTTACAATTAATTCATATAATTAATAATTTATGTGACAATTTAATAGTTTAATCATCTATATGTATAATCAGGTAAAACAGCTTGACGTTATAAAAGGGTCTAATTTACGAGGATCTAAACCTGAAGTCCGTTAATAATTAATTGTATTTATTTATTAACCTTTATTGCAAATCCCATTGAGATCACAGATGTATTTTGCAAGGGAGGTCTGGACCTGAAGGCAGCCTAACTTGCATGTTTTAATCCATGGGAGGAAACCAGAGTACCTGGAGAAAACCCACATGCTAACTCCACATAGAAAGACCCCAGTTCCAACTGGGGATTGAACCCAGGACCTTCTTGCTGTGAGGCAACAGTGCTAACCACTGAGCCGTACTGACCTTCAATGATTTCAAACTTTAGCTGCTTCTATAAATTCTATAAATAAATAAACATGTTCTAGAATTGCGCCGCTCCAGGTGGCTGCATGTTGGAGCAGCTCTACTTTCATTCTGAGATTTTGCTTTTGGAAACTTTAATTCCTCTTTTTCTGGATGTAAATCACATTTTTTGGATGATTGTTTCCTCTGGTATCAGATGCTGTGCAGCTGGAAGGATTTTTACTGAAACTTTTTTAGTCTTGGACATTTGTCATGATGCGTAACCATGGCAACAAGGCAGTTTTCTACAACAACAGCAGCTGATTAACATCTCAAAAGCTCAAATAATATCTCAATTACAGCCCCACATCTCAAATGAGTTGAAAGGATGTTCTGTGGATGCATTCTCATCTACCTGCCAGCTGTGCTCGAGTGCCTGATCTCCGAGATCCTGGAATTAACAGGAAACACGGCTCAGGACAGCAGAAGGACAGGATTGTCCCTCAGCACCTACAGTTGGCTGTCCACAGCGACGAGGAGCTCAGCAGACTGCTGGGAGGAGTGGCCATCGCTCTGGGAGGAGTTCTGCCCGACATTCAGGCGGTCCTACAGCCCGGGGGAACCGAGAGGCCAGCTGAGTCTGGGTGGACGGATCGGACGGCATCTGCAGCCAGTTTCTTAGGATCCACTGTGAGATGGACCTTTACAAGAGATCCTTCCTGCCTACAGCATCAGCATCTATAACATCTCTTAATGAAATGAGGATAATGAGTTACAGCAACAAATAATTTCCCTTTGGGATTAATAAAGTATTTTTGAATTTGAATTGAATTTGAATTATTTTTGTCCATCATTTCAGAAAGTGAAACTCATATGTTACATAGTGAAATATCTGAAGCCTTTATTTCAGAATCAGAATGCCTTTATTGTCATTATAAAAATTATATTATATTATGAAAGAACAGCTGCAGAAAGAAAAGCTTTGCAGAGAGTGGTGAAGGCTGCACAGAAATCTGTTGGAGTCAGTCTCCCCACCATCACAGACATCTACACCTCCAGATGCAGGAAGAGGGCCACCTGCATCATGAAGGACCCCACCCACCCAGCACACACACTTTTTGCCCCACTCCCCTCAGGAAGGAGGTTAAGGAGCATTAAGTGTAGAACCACTAGACTGAGGAACAGCTTCTACCCTGAGGCTGTTAGACTCATGAATCTCTAACTAGAATAATCACTGTGAAAAACCATATCATGTTGCTGCTGATCTGTTTCATGTTGCTGCTGATCTGTTTCAATGTTGATGTGTTCATGCGTGCACATCTGCTCACAGACTCATGTTCATGTTTGTGCTGATGTTCAATGTTTTATGTTATGAGTGCTTAGTGTATATTTAGTTGATGTTTTTCTTAGTTCATATCTTAGATGTTATTACTGTTTTTCTTATACATTTTATTGTTGGATGTAACTGGGACCCTGTGTACATAATTTCGCTCCACCACATGTACCACATGAGGTGCGAATGACAATAAAGAAACTCTGACTCTGACTCTGATTATACACAAGTACAATGAGATTAAGAGCCACTCATTTCTTTCAGTAAAAAAACATGCTTAAGAAAAAACACACTAAAAATATAATAATGTAACGCAATATAGATATAATAATGAAAGTAAAAAAATACAAGTATTTCACAATTGTATTGCACATCATGGATATCAGTGAGGTAGTTGAGGTGACTGAGAGTATGAAATGTCAGTAGTGTTGCACAGTAGAAGTCCAGGGGTTTGGGAGGTTAGATGATTAAATCAGTGCATGTGTGAGTTCAGTGTGGTGACGGCTTTCAGAAAAAACTGTTCTTGAATCTGTTTGTTCTGATGCACCTGTAGCGCTTCCCTGAAGGTACAAGTCAAACGGTTCAACACCCGGGTGTGAACAGTCCTTGGATATGCTTTCTGCTCTGTCGAGGCAGCGTGATGTGTAAATGTCCATCAGGGGAGAGGGCAGCCAGTCATCTTCTGTGCTGTCTTGACTCTGAAGCCTCTCCCTGTCAGCCAGGGTGCAGCTGCCGGACCTTACTGAGATGCAGCATGTCAGCAGGCTCTCGGTGGACGAGCGGTAGAAGGTCAACAGCAAGTTGGTGTTCAGGTTGTGCTTCTTAAGGACTCTCAGGAAGTGTAGTCTCTGCTGAGCCTTCTTGATGACCGCTGTGTTCCCTTTCCAGTTAAGGTCAGCAGAGATATGGACGCAGAGAAATCGGAAAGTGTGAACCCTCTCCACGCACTCGCCATCGATGTAAATGGGAGCTAGGTTGGTTCTGTGCTTCCTGAAATCAATAATTATCTTGTAGGTTTGATGATTATGACTTAGAGAGGATATTCCACGGCTAGCTTCTGGTACTCTTCTGGTCAGTGTGGGCCGTGCTGAGTCCTGCTGGAAAATAAGATCAGCATCTCCATAAAGCTCGTCAGCAGAAGGAAGCACGAAGAGCTCTAAAATATCCTGCTAGATGCTGCGTGGACTTCAGAAAACTATTTTGCATATTGCTCTGGACATCCTTGTAAAAGAGATTAATATTCTCCATGGATTGCTTCCTGGTAAAATAAAGGTTTAAAAAAAAAACCAAATAAATAAATAAAAACCCAGTGGACCAGCACCAGCAGAGGACATGGACTCAAACCATCACTGACTGTGGAAACTTCACTCTGGACTTCAGCAACATGGACTCTGGACCTCCCCGGTCTTCCTCCAGACTCTGGGACCTTGATTAATAAATCTTTCATCTGAAAAGAGGACACTGGACCACTGAGCAGCAGTCCAGTTCTTTGTCTCCTCAGCAGGTAAGACACTGACGTTGTCTCTGGTTCAGGACTGGCTGGACTCAAGGAATGAGACATCTGTAGCTCCAGTCCAGGAGGTAATCAGCTGATGAGGGTGAGACACCAGGAGTTTACAATATTCAACCTCTTCACAATATTCTCATTTTCTGACACACGAGTTTCATTTTTTCATTATTTGGAAGTTATACTCTTCAAATCAACAAAAAATAAAGTCTTGAAATATTTCACTCTGAGTTATGAGTCAATATAATTTATGAGTTTCACTTTCTGAAGTGACTGACAAAAAATATTGAACTTTGTCCACAATATTCTAATTTATTGAGACGCACCTGTTCATCAGCTTATAGGCTACTTTTAAACAGATACATTATTTAGAGCTGGTCTGTTCCTGATCCATCTGATCTGGGTTAAAGATTCAAGTCCTCAAACTGAATCAGGACTAAATTAACCTGGATCCTTCACATCGCAGGAGACTACTGATTAAAGTCGGTGAGTTTACGGACACCCAAGAAAAAGGCAGAATCACCGGAAATGCTGTGGAGTCAAATAAGTTGTACAAAGACTCTAACTTCAGTTTAAATAGATAAACATAAACTAAAATGAACATCTCTGAATATCATCAGACATCATTTTTTTTTTTTTTAAACAAGGGGCGGTGCCAGCGTGAACAACTCAAGTGACTCGAACCGGTTACTTTAGTGAGCGGCTCAGATTAGCCCGAGCCCATAAAGTGAACCGGATTCTTCAGTTCTCATTATTATTAGCTGCAGTTCTGGATGGATCACATTCACGTCGAGGTAAATAACATCAAATCTGCTGACTTGTTAAAAGAGACTCCTTTCTCTTCCGACGAAGATCAATATGCAATTCTGCATTCAACATCATCCAGACAGATTTGTTTCGCCTCAAACTTGTCCTAAATGCCGACAAAACCAAAGGGATGCTTTTTTCAAATAGGAAGTTCGTCCCAGCAGTTCTTCCTCTGATTTTATCCTCAAATGGTGTCCCCATTGAGATTGTTGATTCCTATAAATATTTGGGTATCTTGGTCGACTCACATCTCTCTTTTAAGCTCCACGTGGAAAACTTGGTAAAGAAACTGAAAGTTAAACTGGGTTTCTTTTTCAGAAACAGATCCTGTCTAACTCTGAACCCTGAGGAACACCTTGTATCTCTGACTTTCCTTCCCTCCATTGATTACGGTGACATTATTTACATGAACGCTCCTACAAGAACCCTGCAGATGTTGGATGCTGCAGATGTTGGATGCTGTCTATCATGGTGCACTAAGATTCATAACTGGCTGTAACTATCGTACCCACCACTGCACCCAGTATTCACTGGTTAACTGGTCACCATTAACTTCACACAGACTCTCCCACTGGTACATTTTCATCTTTAAATCACTTCTTGGTCTGCTGCCTTCATACATCTCCTCCTACATGTCTCTGTGTGAGTGCAGCTACAGCGTGCGCTCTCAGGACATCATTACCTGCAGTGTTCCCTCAGTGAGGACTGAACTAGACAAAAGGACCTTCTCCTACTCCGCTCCCGTTTCCTGGAATATCTTACAAAAAAATTTGAAGCTCTCGACCTTTGGCCTCTCTAAGTGGCTTTAAGAATCTGTTGGACTCCTGGCAGGGACCAATGCTGACATGTTCCTGTTTTTAGTTTTCTACATTCGCCGTAGAATCTAGCTGTTTTTTTTGTTACCTTTTCCTTTTAGCCATCCTATTTGTAAAAAAAAAAAAAAAAACTGTAGTATGTTTTTTTTACAACTGTTTATTGTTGTTGCTGTTGTCCATTGTTGTCATCTTTCTTTGTTGAAACCAGGTCTCTCTTGTAAATGAGTCCTCGAGGCTCAATGGGATTTACCTGTCTAAATAAAGGTTGATTGAATATCTGCTATTCATCAAAACTCAACTGGGGATTTCTCCTGTCGGTGATCCAGCCTGATTCTGGAGGTCCAGGGTCTGCTTCTACCCGACTCAGTCAGCGACCCTCGCAGGCCTGATGGATGACTAGGATTGTACCTTAAAAGCTGCCTTTATGAAAAGAGCTCAACAAGTCGCCTCTCATTAGTAAATTAGCCAAGGAATGACCAGATGACCCCTGTGGTGTCGTGAACGTCTCTTGGTGCACCTACAGGGAGATCCAGGCCAGATTCCTCACCACTCCTCTCTCAGAGACTGTAAGCAGTGTGTGTGTGTGTGTGTGGTGGTGGTGGTGGTGGGGGGGGGTCACACTTATAACCTTAGATGGTCAGTGCATTTTATGGTACCACACAGTGGTGTAGTCTACGTGATATGCAGGTATACGGAGTACACCCACTAGAATAGCTTGAGAATTTCAGTATACCCACTTAAAGTGCCCAATGATGCATGCCATATCATTAGGCACGTGTCATCGATACGTTAAACGGCAGTTAAATGCTTCTGTAACAATCTATCGGCATGTAGAGCTTGTTTACTACATTCGCTTATACAGCAAATTATTGTGTAATTAATACTTCTGTACTTAATACTTGAACATGTTTTGCTTTTATACTGTTTTATAAATTCTATAACGTTTTTAATACAAAGCCAACTGTTGTACAAAATTTGTTGTTCATTTATTCAAATATAGTCATCAGAGAAATTTGGAAATGTTCAATATACTTAAAACTCAAAATAAATTGGCATGTACATAGTACTAACCAGTGTACTTTGGTTTCTAAGCACAGTATACGGACTGACCGTGGTACAGTTAGTTTTCTGTTGGACATTCGTACTCCGTGGCTTCAGCGGTGTCCAACGTAAAACTAACTCTACAGTGGTACACCCACTACAAAAATGTAGACTACACCACTGGTACCACATAAATAACCCAGAGGAATAAATATTTAAAAAAATAACTCACCAACACTCAGGAATGACCCAGAAGCCACAATTCAGTTTTGTGCATGTGGGCAAAATTTTATTAAGGTGCAAATTATTAAAAAAAAAAATGTGCACTTAAAAAAAAAACATACTCTCTTGTAAATGAGTCCTCGAGGCTCAATGGGATCTACCTGTCTAAATAAAGGTTGAATGAATACTCTGCTCCCATCTCATGACTGAAACAATGAGGACCAACTCAAATCACATCACTTCATACGGTTATGTATGAAAGACAACACCACAGACACCTCTGTTCTCTGGCCATGGAAATTGGAAAAATACACTTCAAACACAAAGGCAAAGTGATTCTTCACTTCAATCTCTCTTCAGGTCCAACTCGCCTTCAGTTGGAGTCTTCTCTGACTGAAACTGACGGTTTCCAGGATTTACAGGTCCACTCCTTCCACACTGGTTACAGCTGCTGAAGGGAGTATAGGCCTTGTGAACACAGGTTGAAGTCCACACTGATACACTGGGCCCGTCTTGGAGCCGGGTCAGAGCCTGGCACGATCTGGTTTCGTAACCGGCAGGAGTGGGTTGATCTGGGACTGACTTCTGATGCTGAAAGTTCTCTTAAGCAGTCTGAGCCGGTGTGATCCCTGGGTGATAAATGTGATCAGATGAAGGCTCGCCTTTTATCCAACTCTCCAGCTGATGTTGGTGTCACATATTTATGGTCTCCTGTAAAAGTAGGAGTGTTCTTGTCCTGATGCATGCTCAATGATCCAGGTAGATGAATCTAATAGGGTTGAGTCAGGTCCTTTGGACGGATTCTTCTTGTTGAAACGTTTCATCTTTTATCCAAAGGACTTCTTCAGTCTGAGGAGCTGCAACAAACTCAGTCTTAAGAAGCCCCTTCTCATGGTGAATCAACCAGTTGTGCATCAGCATACACAATATTACTTTGTTGTTCTGTGTTCTTCAAGTTTCCACCTCTGGGCCTCAACATATATCATCAAATATTAAAAATCAAAGAGTTTCAATGACATTTCGTAGTGATCTTTTTATATGATAAAATGTGACATGATATACACATATATATATATATATATATATATATATATATATACATATACATATATATATATATATATATTTTTTTTTTAACTAAAACACAAACTTTACACAAACAAAAATGTGAACGTTTTGAGTGACTAAAAGTCACAGAAACATGACTTAAATCTTAAATGCGGGCACACCACAGGGGTGCGTCTTCAGCCCCCTTCTATACTTTTTTTTAGTTGCACTCTGTAGCACTTTGAGATTTTTGTTAATGAAAAGTGCGTTACAAATTAAATTCATTATTATTATTATTATACTCTGTTCACATATGACTGCATCCCCATTCACTCTACAAACACCATCGCCAAATTTGCTGATGACGCCACCACTGTAGGGCTCATAACGGACAACAGTGAATCAGTACAGGGAGGCGGACCAGCACTTAGAATGGTGCCAAAATAATGACCTGCACCTAAACACGAGTAAGACCAAGGAACTCATTCTGGATTTCAGAAGATCCAAGCGAACAGAGCACTCTGCCCTTTGCATTAACGGAGAGGAGACAGAGAGTGGAGAGCTTCAAGTTCCTTGGTGTGAACATGTCGGCAGACCTCACCTGGCCTGTCGACATCTCCTACCAGGTGGGGAGGGGGAGAACAGGGTGTGTCCTGGGTGCAAATGGTCATTTGCAATATTAGTGGTAAATGGGCTGTACTTATATAGTGCCTTTCTATTTTATCCAGATACTCAAAGCACTTTACAACAATCTGTGCCTCATTTACCCATTCATACAGCTCTATACTAGATCTGTACAAAGCTGAACAAATCATTCTAAAGAGACTAATCAGAGCTTTATCACATTCATACACCGATGGGACACACATTGGAGGCAACGAGGGGTTCAATCTCTTGCCCGAGGACACTTTGGCATGTGACTTCTGGTGGATTCGAACCCCTAACTCTTGCATTGGAGGACGACTGCTCTAACCTCTAGTTAAGGATACCGGACAATAAAATCCATACAAATCAGACTGAAGCACAGCTTCTGTCCTCAGGCTGTGAAAGCCATCACCCCAGATCTATTCAAAACTCATAACTAAACAGAAAAGACTAAAAGTGAATTTGCACAAACATTTTGCTACTTACATACAGTCTATCCTAGATTTGTACTTCTGTTTTAATACTATGTATTAACTGTGTATTGTTGCCCTAGAGGACGCCAAAGTGCATTTCATAGTTTTAAGTTTGTTTTGAAAAATACTTTTTTTTTTTTTGCAGTGACTATAATAATGTATTTTATTCTATTAACTGAAATAATGAATTGGTTTATTGTGTTAATATCAGTTTTTGTTTGACAAACAAAACTCATAAGACTTTGATACAATCAGGGTAAGCATGGTAGAACATGCATATATTGGAATATTTAAGTTAAAAGATATATGATAAAATAAAACTGTGTGTGGGTAAAGCATTCTTCATTTTATTGTGAGTTTGATTTTGGAAATTGTTGAATGCCATAAAACTTTTTGATGTTGGGAAAGAGAGTTTATAGTAGATCAGGAGGTTCTGAGCTCATTAGTCTGTACTGAGCATGAGGTTCAATAAAACCACTAGAGGGCGCTTTGACCACCCACCCATTGTTTCCATCTGTGACCTGTGCAGAAGCTAAGATGGCGTCCAAAACAGGCAACCTCTCACAGCCATAAAACAGTTCCATTAACAAGTCCAACTGGATCTGTCACTAATTATTTTTAATAACAATAAATTCATATAATTCACAATTTATGTGAATTTATCCAACAATCAGGTAAACCAGCTCAATGCTCTATAAGGGTCTAACAATGATCAACTCCCTCCTGATATGCTGCAGGAGGGAGGTTCTCGCTGCACCTGTGGCTGCACATAGGAGCAGCAGGTGCTAAATCATTTTAAATAATTTATTTTAAATAAAAACTGAATGCCGATCGTGCGGCTCATCCATCAATCAGTCAATTGTGTCATGTCCAATCTTATTTTGAAAAACTGCGAAAGAGAGAGTCCGCGAAAGTCGAACCACGAATTAGAGAAGGACCGCTGTACACCTTATTGTTTTTTTAGTTTAGTTTTTTACAGACTCAGGGCTATTTAGTCTGCAACAAAGTGAAGCTTGAACGTAATCTGCTGTCTTCCTTAGATAGACAACTTTTATTAGTTGGCTTTCATAATTTACATGCATGTTTTTGTTCAGCGCCCTGACACGACTTCTGTTGGGACTTGGAGCTACAGAAATAAACTGAACTGAATTCAGTTAAAACACCAAATCAAGACGTTTGCCCGTTTTGTCAATGGTGGACGTCAAATGTGCAGTGTGCCCTCTAGAGTTTGACAAGACTCTGAGTGAAGAATCACATTCAAAGGATAATACAACCTGTATTCTTGTACTTGTTTTTTAGATCTTCCACTTCTTTGTCATGCATTCTTTGCAAATCTTCCATTTTTTCTTTGAGGTGTTTCTCTTTGTGGAGTGAGAGTTCACCTAATTGGGTGAACTCTCGGTTGTGTCTCTCTTCGGTCTCTAGGGTTTCTTCTTTATACCTTTGCTTCAGCTCTTGTATTTCCTCCATGTGTTTCTCCACCAGAGCCTTAAAATCTTTGGTGTATTTCTCCCTGAACTCATTGAACTCTTCAGCTTGTTTCCTGGCCTCCTCTTCATATTTCCTCTTCATGTTTTCCATTTTTTTCTTAAAGCTTTCCTCCAGCTCATTCCTTTCCTTCTCCTCCGTTTCTCTTCTGAGCCGATCCTCTTCTTTCCTTTTATTTTGATCTTTTTCTCGCTCTTTCTCGTATTCCTCTTGGAGCTTTGTTAGTTTTTCTTGCTCCTCTTGACGTCTCTGTTCGCTGTCTTGATATCTTTTGTCCCACCACTCTATTCTTTCCCTTTCCCAGTTTTCTCGTGCTTTTCTGATCTCTTCTCTGCTCTTCTCCAGCTCTCTGTCAGTGGTTTCTTTTTTCCGTTCTTCTGACTTTATCTTGCTTTCTAGATCTATGAGTTTTTGTGCCCATTCTTTTTGCTTAAGTTCTTCTTGCCATTTCCTCGAGTTGTCCTCCTCTTGTCTACTCTCTTGTTCTTTCTTTCTCTGTTCTTGCTCTTTATTTATATTTTCCTCCATATCTTTAAGTTGTTTGTCTCTAAATTTTCTTTCCAACTCAATTTCGGCTCGTTGTTCTTCCATTTTTAACTGCATCGCTTGTATTTTTTCTTGATGTTTTTGTTCAAGCTCTTCTTTCTGTTTCTGCATCTCTTGCTCCTTCTCTTTCAGGATTCTCTCCACCTCCTTCTTTATTGCCACCTCAGCCTCTTGGAACATGTCGTTGGTGTAACAGCCACCATCATTTTCATTCACCACTGATTTAACCTTCCGCAGCAGGTCACTGACCTGGGCACGTTTCTCTTGGGAATTATTATCGAAGACATGATATCGGCCTCCACACTCACAAATCAGTTTTTTGACGAAGTCATCGCATTCTTCTTCAAGATAACTCTCAAAGGTTTGATTTTTCAGTTCATCTTTTCTGGTAAATGTAACAATGATGAAATTTTGTGAATTTTTGCCAAAGTATTTTTTGATCAGATCCACAGTTTCTTTTTCCTCTTTTGTAAATCGACCGATCTGCAGGACCAGTAAGATCACGTGAGGTCCAGGAGCCAACATGCTGATGCATTTCACAAGCTCCTGTTCAACTTCAGCGTTGGACACAGTTGTGTCGAACAAACCAGGTGTGTCTACAACAACCACTGGTTTACCATCGACCTCTCCTGTTGCTTTTTCACAAATCTTGGTGACTGACCTCCCGCTGGGTTTGGATTTAAAATGATCTTTGCCGAGAATAGTGTTTCCTGTTGCACTCTTCCCACTGCCAGTTTTCCCTATCAGAACCATCCTGAAACACTCTCTACTCTGATTTCCATCATCTGTTGCCATGTCACCTTTCTTTTTGACTTCCAGAAGTTCAGCTTTGAGTTTAACATTAAGTGTTTCCTGCTGTACAACCTTCTCTATCTGAGCTCTGAGAAACATGTCCTTTGTAAAGCATTTGGACCCTTCAGAGGACATTTTGTCCACAATCTCCAACAGTTCTGGGATCTGCTTCTTGTCCTTGATGTTGAGAACAACAGATCTTCCTCCACAGCTCTGACAGAGCTCCTGGATGGTCTTGTTCTCCTTTACAAAGTTGGACACAGCTGGAGCTGCAGGGTCCGACTCCACAGTGAACAGAATCACGGTGAAGTCTTTGACTCGAGAGCTGAACGTGTCCTGGATGATCTGTAACTCTACCTTGTCTTCATCAGTGAGGGGACCCACAGGTAGGACCAGGATGAAGGCATGGACCCCCTCAGGATCACAGAGGGAGACACACCTGAGTGATTCCTCCATCACTTCCCTGTGTGGTTTCTCGTACAGAGGAGGCAGCTCCAGCACAGAAACCCAACGTCCACACACCTCCCCCTGATGTTGAACACACTCTGAAGGTCTGGAGGCTGGATGAAGATCTTTCTGACCTAAAATGGCTTCAGCTGCTGAAGTCTTCTCTTCTCCTCGGCTCCCAAACAGAACCAGGTTTAAAGGAGGCTTGTTGTGTTCAGACTTTGGCCAGCTGGTGTTTTGAAAGGTGAGGTGCGTTCCTTTGTTTTTACGAATAATGTCCTCAATCTTCTGCAACACTTTGTGGTCATCATTAAACGTGCATCTTCCTTCACATTCTACGATCAGGTCATTAACAGGGGGAGTCATTTCCTCTTTATGTGTACAAATAACCATTGAATGTTTGAAGACATCTGGGCCAAACATGCTCAGGAAGAACTTCAGTGTTTTTCTGTCCATCTCAGTGAAATCTGAAGGTTTCACTAACAGCAGCAGAACATGTGGTCCAGGAAAAGAAAGAAGCGCACAGCTTTGCAGTTCTTCTATGACAGCTTTCACAGGCAGACTGAAGACGTCGGGCACTTTTACTACGGTCACTGGTTTTCCCCTCCACGAGTCACGGACAACTTCAATTTGCTTTTGGTTAAATTTAAAAAACTTGAATTTTTTCTCAAACATGGAATGGGACAGCGATCGCTTTTTGTCCTCACTTTTTCCAAACATTACAATCCTGAGTCCACCTGTGGCCAAGACAAACAGTTAAATAAACAATTAGTTAATTACGAGGGTTGACAATTACTAATCACTCACCACACTTGACCTATTTCAGAGATACCAGTAATCAACCTGCTATGAGAAGTTGCTTGTTATCATTTTGTAAATTCATCCCTTCTGTGTTTACATGTACAGGTCAGAATAAAGAGGCTAAATAAGAGACCAGGACATTTCTCTGAAATGAGCAGGAGGATTGAGAGCAAATCTGTTCTAAGCTAGACAAAGTGCTAACGTTTAGGAAGTTTTTTCCAAGTGTGGCCAAAAACTTAGAGCAGCGCTTATTGTCCCACGGTGGGGGCCTGCGCAACAAGATCAATTCCCAGACAGTCATCTATTCTGTCCCCCAAACTACCTCCGAATAAAGTCACTTATTCCAAAATATGGAATAAATGATGACTTAAAGTGGGCCAGTAAAATCTATGATTTTTTCTTTGCAGTAGTCGGACCCTCGACCCACCTGTCAATCAGTCCAGTAGGCACGTCAGCAACTGACCAATCAGTGACTTCAATTTGTCCTGAAGTGAACGCCCCTTACTTTCAGAGCTGCAGCTTTGGTCATAGAGATTTCAATAATAATTGAGTTTACACAGTTTGTTTCGTGTTAATCCACTGTAATAATCCTTTGTAAAATACACCAGAATGCAGGAAATGACATCTACTTTATTCAAAATTTTCTGGGGGAGGACCCCCTCCACCCCACCCCAGTCTGTGAAAATACTGTCTGACCAGTTGGTGGCACAAAATAGGTTGGTGACCACGGATCTAAAAGACAGTAGCAAGTATCTATAAATGATAATGGTAAGATTTGTGGTTATTGGGTTAACCCTAAAAGTTTAAAGATTATTCCCAGGAGAGTACTTTCAAATAAAATGATTATTTAATCAATCTGTCACTTACCAGTGCCTTGAGTATAATCCAGAGGGACAGTGTCTTCCTGTTGTTGGATCTTTTCTTCTGTTGGGCCATGTGTTGTGTCCTCAAACACGTCACAGGTCACATGACCTCCGTTCTTTTTAACAATCTGACTCATGAATGTTAGCAGCTCAGCATGTTTAAGGTTCTTTAGCTTCAAGTATCTGTTCTGACATTTAACGATCATCTCTTTTACAGGTTTGTCAGGAGGCTCGTCTGCCATAACAGCGTCACTAATATGTGTGGGAGTTGAAATCAGAACCATCGAATAATCAAAGGATCGATCGCTGAGATGTGACAGGACTCGGCAGAGCCTCAGTTTGTCGTCCTCAGTAAAGTCTTCAGGCTGCAGAACCAGCAGGAACACATGAGGTCCAGGTTCAGATAACCTCACACAGATTTTTACATGTTCATTCAGCTTGTCCTCAGTTATGGAAGGATGTATCAGATCCGGGGTGTTGATGACACTTAACTTCTTTTCAAACACGCTATAGGATTTTAGACACTGGTCTGGTGCTTTTTCACTGATGAACTTATTGTCTTTTAATATTAAGTTCCCCACCGTTCTCCTCCCTGTCCAGCTGTTTCCCAGCAGAACAACACGCAACTCAGAAACTGAGGAAAAACAGAAAGAATTATAAGAATAAATAAGTCTTTATTTATCCCATAAAGTTGCATTACAAGCTATTAGAAAAAAAGATGGGAAGACAATGCAAACAACCAAGCTTAGTTAATCCTTAGTTTCATTGTCCAGTCAGAAATGATCCTGGTCATAAATCTTTTTCTACAGTCATCCACCACATAATCTGTTTCATCCAGTCCCAGGTTTTCTTTTTACTATCTAGCGTTAAATACTATGACTAGACCCACCAATTGAATTTTGTGATACCTGTGACCTTCATTTTTACTTGTAAAAAATTAGTATAATCATACTGATGTCTAATGATTACATAAACACTTCAGCTTATCTGGATATCAGAACACAATGTTCTGACCTGTACCAGTGTGGTGGTTGAGATGTTTGCAGAGTTGCTTTATCAAGGAGAGTAAAGAAATCCATGTACAAAGTGAATATTTTGGCTTCATGGTGGTGTGTCCACTTTAAGATTGTTCAATGGATAGAAAATGAGTTCTGATGGTTTCAAAATGGTTCCATTGCTGCAGACTGCTGAGTCCAAACGTCCAGCACCACATACTTAGAAGACTGTTTCAAAGATCTGCACTGGACAAAGGTTTTTCGTAGTGGCATGTTCTTGTGTGCACTGGGAGATAATGAATAATGCCACGTTTAGACAATCAAAGTGTTATAACTGAATAACTGGCATTACAATAATTATTGACTGTATTACGATTATTAAAATACCAGCTCAAATGGATAACAGAGCTGGCAGTAAAGGCCCACGGGTGCCTTGTCAGTAAGGCGAACCGCTCTTTGTTTCTGGATACAAGTGGTGATTTGATGCAGAATTAAAGCCATCCAGTCGTCCTGTAGCAAGCCAGCCCACTGTTATTGGAACTGGACCTCAAGAACCAGCAGATCAGGACTGGGTAAGAGTCCCACTCATCTTGAATTGGGGAAAAAAAACCAGAGAACCTGGCTGAGCCCAGGAGGACCTCAATATGATGCAGGCAGTCCACATGAATCACTACCAGAGGGGACCCGAGGTCAGACCCTGTGGTTCCCCACATCAAAATGCCATGAGTAACATGGTGTCTCTCCACCACATTGGCAGGACTGGTCCTCTCCTTTTGGAGCCTCCAGTTATGCACTTAATGGTCATCTGTGGTGATGCAGAACTGCGATTTATCTCTGAAGATGAAACGACTCCACTCATCCATCCATGCCTCCTGGTTCTGGTACCACTTCAAACTCATTTATCTCTGCTCTAGTGTTAATGGCACGTTGTAGGTGAGCAGAACCTTCACAGCATGTACGGGTGCCCTCACATATTCATTAGTTCTAACACGGACAATGTCCACGTCTACGTGCCCTACAAGATGTGCAGCTCCACAAACGGACCACAACTTCTCATGAAAATCCACAACGTGAACCCTGAAAAACTGCAGGAGCAAGAGTTGTTTGCTTCTTGTTTTGCTGGGATACAAATAGAGGTTGTTGTTGTTGGTTTGGTTAACAGATAATGTTGATAAGATGTGCTAAAAGATTTTAAATAGTTGGAATACTTCAACTATTATCCAAACAAGCAGCAAGATGTGTACGTTTGAAAACTGGCTTCATTCAGACCAGCTTCAGATGGTTACCATTTCAAAATAAGTCCAAGTGTACTTTAACTTCAATATTAACACACGTGTGCCGAGCCGAATACTTTTAAAGTTAGTGCTTTTATGCTAGCTGCTGAGTTTTATTTGAATGACTCACAATTTGGCCGGGTATTGTCTGGACTCCTGCTGCGCTGCTGAGTTGTTCCATCTTCTCCTGTAAATTACACAAAATATTCAGCAAATTCAAATTTAGGTCTGATTTTTTAAATATTTATAATTATTTGTTTGTTTTGGGTTGGCTCATTTTGATGTTTTCGCAAACAATTGCATTTTATATTTGGTCATAATTTTCTGTATTGTTCCACAAGTTCTTGATTGATCTGTACATTATTGTAGATGTATGGAGGGAGTGGTGGTGCAGAGGTTAGAGAAGGTGGGCCTGTGATCAGAAGAGTGCTGGTTCAACTCCTGGTACCAACAACATTTGCCCCACTCTTGGCCCTTGAGCAAGGCTCTTAACCCGCACCATCTGCTCCCCCGAGCGCCCTGGATGCAGCTCTCTGCTCCACACAGAGGCTGTGGCAGCTCGGTGTCTGTGGTCGAGTCAGGAAGGACATCCGGTGTAAAAATACCTGCAGAGTCTTTGTTTAAAACTTAGTTCACTGTGGCGACCCCTGACGAAGAGCAGCTTGGGTGCATTTACAGTGTAAGAGCACGGCACATTGTGGATGAAGTACACACCAGATGATGCAGTTGCCATTACGTCCTCTGTTGGAAACCACGACTTTTACTTCTGTAGGGAAGAAATACTTTAGTACTTCAAAATAAAATACCATAGAAGTGTTTTGCTCAATTACGCTGGTGAAGATTCTCAGTCATCCAGGACACGATCAGTCAAAAAAAAAGTTTATAAAAACAAAAACTGGACTTGGTCAGGTCTAAAACGTCAGCAGTGTGCAATGATTCGTGCTTCCTGTCTGCCCGGCTAACCTCGCCACTCATCAGCTTCACTCAGCTCACCTGCTCCCACTCTGTTTCATCAATTTCAGCTGGTGATTCAACTCTGCAGGTTGGTGCTTCTGAGCCTCTCACGTTCTCCTGCTCTCAAAGCAATCCCAGTCACCAACCTGCTCTCGCTCCCTGCAGAGTTTCAGACGATGTTCTCCCTCGGGAGTTCTTTCCCTGACAAGTACCGGTATTCATTAAATCTTTCACTCCTGTGTTGTAGTTGAATTTCCAGGTCCTCGTTGTAATTCATTGGTGTGTGGAGCTCTCAGCGTTCTAGAAGTGCACGAGAGACCTGGCTGCGTTCTTAGATCAGCTGCAGGTTAGACTAGAACTACTCGCCCTCACAGTGGAGGCTCGTTACGCTCTTTGTCTGCCTGGCGCAGTTTGGTTCACCTGCATGAAGGTGTGGACTGGACTGCAGCTGAAAGTTTTAGAAAGTCAAAATCTGAGACCTCTGAAGTCCAGTTCGCTTTTTGCTTTAACCATTTTTAGGACTGGTTTACATTTGTGAACTTAATGTAAATATAACACAAGGAGGACACTGTTTGGTTGAATGTTTCCTAGATGCAATCCTGCGTATGATGATCTTCACCCATTGGAGAACTTGCATTTCCCCCCCCTTAAATACTCCTAAACATTATTTATAAGAAACAAACAAAAAATGCATGTTTGTGTTGAGCAGCAGAATGAAGTATTTGAGATGTGCCCATGAAAAACTT